CATTCATCAGYCCCAGGGCCTGGGAGAAGTTTGAAATGCTCAGTTTCCCTATAAAAATGACACACACACACATCTTGTCAGTCCCACAACMGAAGGTCATGTAGTACATGTCCCCCAAGCACACATCCCTTCAAAGACTGTGTCTGCTCAGGATTTTCAGTCCTTGAAACTCTGCGTGAGTAGATGGGTATCACAAGAGGTGCCCCAGTGCAGCAACCACTTTGTGTAAGATCTGAACTTGGCTCTTTTATAAGCAGGGACACAGAAATGGGACTGCTGAGGCAGTGGGAAGAGGTGATATTGATGTGGTAAGTAGCTTGCTGCAGATTGTTCCAGGAGTCCACATACTGGTTTTGTGGAAAAGATGACAGAAAGAATAACAAGCAGTAGCTTTGTATGGAAAGCTTCAGCCCAGAGCAGGCTGTTTGAAATGCTCAAAATATGTTAAGACTGTAATGACAGCAACTCAAATAATGCACAATTAAAAAAAAAACCTTGTTTAAAATAGTCTACACTACTAAAGGATCTGCCCCAAGGAGCGATCCTTATATAAGCATTCACACCTCTTTCGCCTCTGGAGTGAACTGTTTGTTTTTGTGCTGCCTAACACTTGACCTGGGTCCGATGCCCCCATGGCTCTAAGATCATAATTATATTTTTGTGGCTTCAGTTCAAAGTGTCTGAAATAATGTGGAGGCTGCTTTGCTGCCTGCAAGACTGGTGTTTTTACAGCATTATGCTGAAGGTGTGCTGTATGCTGTGGAGTGTGGGGCACACCGAGGCCGTCTGAGGACAGGAGGCTGGTTGGGATTGTGGAGGGCAGGAGAAGCCACTATTGGTSTAGTCTCATCCTTGCTGTGACATTCTTAGGGCAGTCCATCTGCAGAGCTGTGTCTGGGCTTTTCCTCAGAGGGAAGAGAGTCCAAGCACACACTGATGCAYGGTGTACGGTGACAAGGGCACCAGGACCCAGGAGTGGACCAGGGAGGTAAATRATTTGACAGCACAGCTGCACCTATCATAGTCATGAGCACTGGGGTGGTGGATGAACCAGGGAAATGCCTCTTGTTGCTCTTCATATTCTGTGTTTTTCAGTTTTAGGCATTTTGCTGATSAAATTGATATTTGCTGCTCCCAGGGTGATATTCAAGTGCTGATATGGTGTGGGAGGGGAAGACTGGGTAGAGGATCTGAATAAACAAACAAAATGTCTTTCTGTTTTAATCAGGTTTCTCTTGCTCATGCATGCTCTCTCTTAAAAAATTACCTCATACTGTGTTGATTGAAAAGTGGGAATTAATAGGCAAGAACCATCTACTGAGTACAGATTGAAGACTGTTTTCAAAAACCRTAGACAGGAGATGGATCTCAGGGCTGAATGTGGGAAGGGAAGCCATGTCTGTAAAATTTGTAAGCATGCTAGTTTCGTAAGCTTTGTTAGTTTAAAATGTATGGCAACCCGCTCTTTTCTTTTTGTTAGTGACTTGTTTCCTTATTGGTCCTGTCATTGCTTTTATATATTTTTGTCTGCAGGCTAGTCCCCTTCAAAATTATTTGCAATTGCTATCTTTTAAGTCAATATGTTAAGWCAGTTAATAAGATAACATTGTGTTGTTACTAAGGATTTAGGCATGGACAGGTAAGAGYTGATCATTTCCAAGGCCTCCTACTTCCTTTCCTTTGCTTCGCTGTAAAATCTGTTATTATTTTAACGAATAGCTCTGCGAAAGCACGTGTGCTGGTTTTGGCTGGCAGAGAGTTAATTTTCTTCCCGGTAGCAGGTGTGGGGGTATGGTTGGGATTTGTGCTGGAAAAAATGCAGGCAACATGGGGCTGCTGCAGTTACTGCTGAGCAAAATGTCTGGGAGGGTTTCATAACAGCTCGGCGTGTTGCAAGCGCCTTCTCCCCCCAGAGCCTCTGGGCTCTGAGCAAGTGGGTATGGTTACACAAACACGCCTGGGTGAGAAAGGAAAGGGTGTGGGTTGGCAGTGCCTCAGTTTCTCTGTGGTGACTGTCCCCCACCGGCYCTTGCCCCACGGTGAGTTCCTCTGCCATGCGTTGGGGTGAGCTGCTCCGCGTCTGGGCTGAAAGGAGAGGATTTGGCTGGGCAGTCGGGGCAGAGGAGGTGCAGCCCTGTGCCTTCACAGCCCATCTTGCCCTCGGGAGCTTGTGTGCRTGCCCATGCCTTCGGGCGGGAAGCGTACTGCAGCGTTTCCCTGGAAAACTGCCCAGTGCCATAAAGGAAAACTCCTCGGAGGTTCTGGTGAGCTCAGCTCGTCAGCAGATTGTTGGCAGGATAGATCTCAAACCGTGAAGAAATTCAAAGGGTACCTTTTCTCACCTGTTTGGAAATCTGGAGCTGGCTGTTTTCCARTGCAACATCTTTGGGTTGAAACCTCCCAGGCTGCTTCTGTCAGCTCTGGTTTTTGGTGTGAAAYTGTGTCCTTTAATGAAGAGGTGCTTGAAAGAATCAGTGCTACTTCACTATATCTGAAAGCAGCAGCTTTTTGGCTACCACACCATGGACATGGCAGCGCCCTGAGGTCTCGTGGTGTCTCAGGGACTGATRGCCATCAGGAGTGGGCACATGGGGGCAAGGTGTGAGGGTGTCCCCAAGGAGGCCCAGCCTTCATTGCTGGACAGGAGCCAGCAGGTGCCTCCCAGGTGGATGATGCTGGCTTGCCTGGGGACAGCAGAGCCCCCTTCAGCCACAGGACGTGGGGTATCCATGTGAAACAAGATGATCTCCCACCTAGGAAGTGTTTTCTTCCAGAGCTTCCTCCTTCTGGCGTTTGGGATTGGTGGCATGGTTTTTTTTGACACATGTTCATTGGGTGTCACTTGGGGTGAGGACGCTTGTCCCCAGCCCGCCAGTGGCRAATGGTGGCCTCTTGCAGAGTGTCAGTGTCACCTCAACAGTTGAGGGTTCCTCCATCCACTTCCCTTGGTGTGCCATTATTTTCCTCCTCCTTACCCTGACTTTTTATCCAGAGTTGAGCCAAGCACCTTCCCGCTCTCCTGCCCACACCATGTCACTTGTTCCATTGCTCTGAGTCACCAAGTTGATCGTCCCCAGCCTGCTGTTCTTCCCTCCGGCAGTATCCACCTTAGACAGGGTAGGGTGCCACAGGATCTTTCAGCACCACCTGAGCAGCTTCTTAATGGGATTTTCGAATTCTCCCATGTGCAATGTGTGTGGAACCACCCCAAAAGCGAGCTCTATCGGTGGAGGCAGAACATGAAAATCAAGGTGGACTGCTCCAAGCCAGCTGTGTCCTGGGGAAGGTAACCAGCTATTAAGAGTGATGCAGTTTTTTCCGTAGAAATAGGTAAATAAACAAAATAATTGCACATGTTTATTGGGATATGTGTTAAAATGTCAAAACATTTTCACCACAATTACGCAATAAACTGATTCAACTTTATAAATATGCCTGAGGCTTTTCTGCTCATTTATTTACTCTTTGAAAACTMTATATGAAAGTCAGTTATAAAACTGAATTTGCAAATAAAGCTGTACAAACAGAGCTGGATTGGGGACAGTATGATGAGTCTGGAAAAGAAGCCTGTGGGAAAAAGGGAGTTTTTTTCAAACCAAAATGGAAAATATGCATATTTTAAGGACATAACAAAACAAGAATATTTTGAGACTTTTTTCTTTTTCCTGAAAGCAAAATATTTCTCTGCCTAAAGATCTCTCAGTGTTTCCAACTGGGATGAGTTMATCAGATGACCACCAGTATGGGGCTGCCTGTGAGGCTCCACTTGCCCTGTGAAGAGAGGATGGAGAGCTGGGGCTTGTTCAGTTTTGGAGAGGAGGTGGCTTTGGGGGTGGTGGAGATGAACCCAGACTTTTCGCAGTGGTCCATGGTGGGGAGACAACAATGAAAGGTTGATAAAGGAGAGATTCAGGTTGGATGTAAGAGAAAACATTTTCACTGCGGTCCAGAAAAGTTGTGATGTCTCTGTCCTTGCATATTTTCAAGAGTTGGTTGAAAAAAAACCTGAGGAACCTGGTGTGATCCCATAGCTGACCCTGCTTCAGATAGAACATTGGACCAGAGACCTCCCGGGGTCCCTTCCAAACTGAATTGTCCTATGATCCTATGAAAAATTCAGTCCAATTTTAAAATAAAAGTATCAAAATACATAAAAATTTTAAAAAGCTGAATTTTAACCAACTGTTGAATCATCTAAAGGAAAAAACCATATAACATATGTAACAAATGTAACATATGTTACATTTATCAACTTTTTAATAAAACGGTATCCTCAGAATCCTGGATTCTTGCTACTTTGATTTTTCAGACAGCAAAATTAAGGAGATTTTATAAGTTGTTCAGTTTTKACTATTTTATTTCTCTCTTGGGAAGAGACTAAGTGAACTTTTTCATATTCTTTGGATTCAGAATTCGAAAATTTGAAAATTGACACCTCAGAATAATCATAGGTAAAATTATGTTCCTTAAGTTTTAGGATTGACTTGCTTAAAATTAATGTATTTTTTAAAGATTGTACATACTTCTATTGTGACAGCCTTTTCCCAAGGCTTTGACCTGTTCTGAGAATTCTACTGATTCTTTACTGAGACAGCTTCCAGAAGGAAAGTGAATGGAACATGTGATGTAATGTGGAACTATAAACCCCAAATGTTGTAATATGCTGTCTCTGAAGAGGTGGAGTGACAGGAGATAAGACGACTAATTTTTCTGCCTTGTGGCTCTGATGTGGTTATCCTGCTGAGTATTGTATTTGCATTTTGGTTGTTTTATTATCAGGAAAAAGCTGACAGGTTAGTTTCAGAGAGCTAAAGCAGGTGGGATGAATTAATGTCTAAYAAAGGAGCAAGTAGTTTGACTGCAATAAAGCAGTAAACTTTAGGAGTACCACGGCAACAGGGGAAAAAAATCTTGGTGTTTTGTCAGAAACACAGTGAATACTAACTCCAGCCTCATTTTGCTTGGGTGCATTGACTGAAGAATGTTCCCTCTCCTTGCAGGTACTATGATGTGTCGGGCAGACGCTGCACTGCGCAGGAGAGCCAAACACTCTCAGTGATCTGTCCCCACTCTTACGCTCTCCCAGCAATATCAATGTCTACTGCCTCATTGCCAGCAGCACTTAGAAAGGTAAGGAAAAGCTAAATACGTGCGTTTATATAAACATGTGTGCACAAAAACACGTACGTGTATCATAAAGGTGACTGCTCTGAAAACAGGGATAATAACACAAGGTGTAATTGTAATCTTCCTTTAAAAGACCTGTGTTTGAAGTACTGGAAAATTTTCAAATTAAACTCATGTACGGAAATAAGGAAGGTGCGTAATGACTATAGCTGGCATGAAGAGACAACAAAGAAAATGGCTCGAGGAGATCTTCCACATGCTCCCACAAACCATATGGCTTTTTSCTTTCGTTCATAAAAAATATATAACCCGAAATAATAAAGGAACAGCACCTACACTTTTACAGTTTCTCACTGAACCCATACTGTTTTCTCTGTAAGTTTCTTTCCCAGAGAAGGAGGAATGGCCACACATTTATTTCTAGTGTTCATTTAGCTCATGGAGTGTTACTCATTTGCTTGGCAGCACTATTACTTCATGGAAGCAAGCTAGGGAAAATGCTAATTACTCCTGTTCTAATGTGAGAACTTAATTTCAGATTGCAGACCAAGTTGTGCAATGCCATTCTTGTCTTTATTGTAATCTTTCCATGGAGAGAGAAATACTGTTTTTCCACATTAAGAAAAGTACTCAGCAGGCCAGTAATTGAAGAAGTTGCTTTCGTCTTGGTTGTGGAACTAATATCAATCTGAATATATTAGATGAAKGCTTAAAATATTCTGTCTTTAAAACACATACATTTATTGTCTAGTCTTCTCAAACCAGAAAATCTCATCAACTGATTTCTGCATTTGGAAAAGACTCATTGGTCTGTAGCTGAATACACAAATAACATGAACCCCAAACATCCCTTTTGGTCTCATTTAGCATCTTAGTTATATTGATAATGTTGAAGCATCCTACAAAAAGGTCTCAGTTCTTCACAAAACAGCAAAATGGCACATTACTGTGCTGGATTGACATTCCATTGTGGTAGRGCTAGCTGGGTTCAAGAGAAAGAATTGTTGTTCATCCTATTTCTGTCTTGGCTGGAGTTGTACATTAGCTCCTTGCAAGGACTTCTGGAAAAGCAAGKAGAGGCTTGGTATTTTTATGTGGAAAGAATAGCAGGATTCAGCTGTTATTTRGTGAGCTCTGAGTTGGCATTTAGTTCTTCTTTTGGAATAATTTGTTCATACRTACAGCTAAATTAAACTGTTGGGGTGTCATTTCTCTAACCTGGAACCAATCCATTTGTACTCAGAACATTTACAACCTTTTAAATAAAGCTTCTGAAAGTGCATGAGACCAGGCCACGTAATTTAATACTTTGATGTATAACACAAAGGTCTGATTGTTAGATAAATCATAAAAATTGAGGAAATTGCCTGCAGGGGTATGTGTGTGTGCGTGTGTGAATTCATCAGTTTCTTTTTCTTTTGTATTGGGATAATCCGTTAATGTGTGTAATAACACAGTCACCTGCTGATGACAGATGGTTTATGGGGATTGGGATTTAAGGAGGTCCTACCTTCCCTCAGCATTTCTGGTGGGAGAGTGGTAGAAAACGGTGAATTACAAAACATAAGCTGTTTGCATCAGGCTCCTCTCTGTTGCTGTTCTTTCTATGGAAACCTGTTCATAAGCCTTTCAAAGGTGAATGTCCTGAGTAGAGTCTTGCAGAATAATGTACACAGACTAATTTGTTTTATCCTCTGCTTTTGYCTAATTCATATTATTCCCTTTACCTTGGGTAATTAAGAACTGACTCCAGCAATGACTTAAACAGACAAGCTCTCCTACATTCTTTTATTAATTAAACAGTCTTCCTAAGAAACCTTGCTTATCAGTCTCTGGAGCTCATAAAAATTTGGGTTTGTTTTCTGGGGAAAAAAAGTAATTTTATTTTGCTTCTTACCCCTTTTTTTCTTTTGTGGCAGTGATTATTAAATGATGGAGTTTACCTAGATTCACCTAGATTGCATTCCACTCTCAGCCAGTTCATGCCCTACTAGTCAGCAGAAGATCTAAAATAGCCACTCCCTTAATGGTTTTCTTTACCTTCTGAAGAAAARGCTGTCCCCAGCATATTCCAAGAACTTGTTGGACTGTCTCCTTCTTGTACTTGTTTTCCAACAGAAAAAAAAATTAATTCCAAGAAGTAATTAAAGCCATCAGGTTCCRTCCTTTTGGATGCTTCCCTTGCGTGATCAAAAAACACGACTTCTCTCCACCCAAAAAGCTAGTCTATAATAAATTTCTATCAYAATATATCCTGGTTTTCCCTTTTCATCTTCTTTTAGGATTAACAAATCTTCATTTTACCTCTTCCTGTATGTCACTGTTCTTGAGGTATAGTGCAACTTTGTTTCTTTTTGTTTGACTTCCATAAATAGTGATGATAAAAGAGCAGAATGTTAAAAAATGTTTAGGATCACTTGCTTGATAGCATTACTCAGTGAGTAAATGTTGTGTTGCCCAAATTGTAAGGCAAAAAAACTTCCTTCCACTACACCATTTTCTTAGGAAAAGAGTGACATYCTTCTTTAACAGTATTGCTTTCTCACCAAATTTCTGAGGTACTTCTGGTTCTGCACAAAGATTTTCACTTTTTTACCCTTTGCAAGGTCATCTGGAATTTATWATTTTGCTTTATTGTAAGCTTCCAATTGGAACAACCAAAAATGTCAGCAATACGATAATGAAAGAGACACTGTGGAGTGCTCTTATCAAAATGTAAATAGCATATGTCTATTAAGTCACTGGAGGTAACTGGATCTATGAGAAATTAAAAACCATACAAATCTGAGTATGTGTTTCATTTTTGGGTTGGATTCCGTTATAGGCCGTTCACCTAAAAGTTGGGCTCACTTATCCKTGTGGKTCCCTTCTAACTCAGAATATTCTGTGTGATTCTTGACTTTTCTGGTCCTATACTATTTAATTTACAAAACATTTGTTTTATTAAAACCAGAATTAGCAGTTTCTCTTTTGGTATTTTGGTAAACAGATGTTTGATAACACATTATTGAATATTAAAAAGCCTCCCCTGAAATAATTTCTAGATGTCAGATCCAAAAAATACACTGTTTCTACATTCTGAAACTCAGCATATCCCTTTTCCCAAAGAACCCATTATATCACCGGTTAAACTTTTACAATCTATTTTTKCTAATTGAGGCTAAATAGGAATATTTGGTATCCTTGAGTTTGTTTGCAAATGAAGGGGAAATAGCTGTATTAGGTTCCTGTTTATGTTTAGAATGTCTGCATCGATTCACCTTGAGGATTGTTTGAGCTGTCAAATAGCCTGTACTGCATGAAGTAGGTAGCTGTGGATATGATTTTATCTCTTCTTTTTATGTCTTTTAGACTGCTTGATTAATAAAACAGTGTGGCCAGTCTTCTCCCTGTGAATCAAGAAACAACTTCCTGAATGTTTCATTCATTCCATTCTCCTTGGATAAATAATTCAATTTGAGAACCCAATCACTAATAAAATGTGTATTTTGCAGTCATACAGCTTCAAAAGTGATAAAATACTAGTACAAAGGGTGGAGGAGTCCAGCCATGACAAACTCAAATGACCTTAAATTGTGTAGCTAAAGACAAACAGGTGTTAAGCTGATCAGTTTCTGTATAGTTAAGGTGAAATGCATTTTTTCCCCTGGAGAGCAATTTCAAATTTAGATTGACTTCTGCTGATAGTAAAATGAGTGAMTGAAAATCAAGTTCTTAATGCTTCATTGTTTATTCATTTCCTGTGCATTAGGAATAATGATGACAAAAATCTAGCCTTTAAAATTCCACGTGACATACTTAGGCCTCAACATTTTTTTCCTAAGTCACATCTGTGTGTTCTAAAGCTGTTTCTGCTCTTATATTCAGGTGTTGATTAGTCATATTTCCAGACTTATAACCAGGTACCTGTCTAAAGGTTTCTCAGGATTCTCCATCTAGATAAGAGTTCTCACACCTACTTGCTACCTGAACACAGTCACTGCCTTTCACACAAAGATTCAGTTCTATGGCATGAATATTCATCGAAGGAAACTGGGTGGAGTACTTCTAACACCCAGGTGTGGCTATAGAAGCCCATTTTGATTCTGTGTTAAATTACTGGATTAAATGAGTTTATTCTATCACTGCCTTTGCCATATTCCTGAGACTGCAGATAYGCAGATCCCTAATTCCTCCTGTTCTTTTAAGTCATCTTTCAAGATGATAGTTCATCAAAGTCTAAGGTATTTTCATGTTAGGATTCCTCATCTGCTTTGTTAATTTCTATCTGCCTTGCTCAGAGAAATGTTAGCAAGAAGTCCAGCCCAGGCCCTCGTACTGATCCTTCTTACAGTGGTTTATTTTCTCAAGGAATAACAAAACGTAAAGTCTATTTGGGATCCACAGGGTTGCCCAGAGTGATGTTTAAATGGTAGAAACATAGCATTTTGTACTGTCATTTGATAAATTCCATACCAAGTTAGCAGGTGAGAAAGCAGATGAGTCACTTTCCAGAGTAACAGACAACAAAATTATCAGTTCATGGATAGGTGAGAAGAACCTGTCCAGAGGAGAACAAGTCATTGCCTTAAGGYTCTCCCCAGTTTTTAATAGATATGGCTTTTCAGTGGTTGACCAATGTCCTCCCAGAATTTGAGACTGAAAGAAGAGAAGGAATCCTTYTCCACCTTGGAATCAGAAAGCTGAACAAAACCTTTTAGCCAAGGTCCTACAAAATGAGACATGCAGGGATATTTGCTGATGTTGGTTTTCTCAAAGGAGAAAAAAAGGCCACAATTTCAGGAGAGCACAAACCTGCCTTGTGCAGAGACTGAAGGGGGAAAAGRAGGGGAAATTATATGACACTGAAGCATTTTTTCTTTTGAGGTGAAGGGCAGTTATAGCAAGGCAGTCACCTAAGAGAGGCTCTGATGAGGCAGGGGGTGGGGCTTACCCTTGGTTTACTTTTAATTTCTTCTGCAATCTACATAGGTCCTCCTTCAGCTATTTGGAATAAGTTATAT